AATGTCACAAAAATGGGGCGAGGTGTGATGTTTGGGGCCTTACTACGGAAGGAACGCTCATCTTCGACCAAGGTTTTCATGCAGTTCCTACAGAAGAGTCGCTGTGGTCTACGCTGGTGAAGATAATTCCTCGCTATCTTCATAGCTTTCTGCAAAACATCTCCTCTGAAAATGGAAAATGTCACAAAAATGGGGCGAGGTGTGATGTTTGGGGCCTTACTACGGAAGGAACGCTCATCTTCGACCAAGGTTTTCATACAGTTCCTACAGAAGAGTCACCGTGGTCTACGCTGGTGAAGATAATTCCTCGCTATCTTCGTAGCATTCTGCAAAACATCTCCTCTAAAAATGGAAAATGTCACATAATAGGCCCACTATGCCTGCTGAGAACTGTTCAAAGATTCCACTTGATATACAGAGGATGGGATATTGAGAGCAGAGGGAACACGTAAAGCCAGTAAGCGCTTAAAACGAAATGAAGATCTAAGAATTCGGAAAATAACATTCATCTAATCTCACAATGTAGTGGATTAGATTGAGTACGTGGCCCGCTAATGCCGCCAGTCTCAAAACATACCTGGGGTATGTTTTGAGACCCTTCTTTCTGTGTGGCGGTCAGCTCGCATAAGCGGGATTAGCACACCACATGCGAGCAACTACTTTTTGAGATGAAAATTGAGTGCATGGCGCAATCCAGTGTAGTGCCGCTAGAAAACTTTAGGACGGATTCTTATAGATCTCGACGAGCTGAGTTCAAGGCTGTTTTCAGATTTTGAAAATCTTAATTTTAAACCGATTTATAACGAAAAAACGAAAAAAACGCGAAATCGTCTTTGGCGCCAATTGGCGCCAAATGACACCAGCATCAAAAATGAATGTCATATTCGTAATCAGGGCATCGAATTACCCCAATAGGCAAAGTTTCGACGAAAAATGAAACTGCAGATTTTGGGGCAGTGAAAAATGATCCATGATTTCCATTTGAACAGGAGTTGTTGAGCGCAGTCATGTACATGTTGAGTCATTTAACGCGCCGCTATGGAATAGGGACCATGAAATCTGGAAAAAAGCAATCGATCCATTCACAATACAATGGACGATGTTGAATACGCGGCGCGTTCTGGGGCAACTGCTGAGACCCATCTCTCTGAAGAACGATCATGATGCATAAGCGGGATTATATGCGCACCACATTCAAACAATTTTTTCTCGAGCCAAAGCTCGAGTGCATGGCGCAATCTGAAGTAGGGCTTTTTAAAAGTTTAAAAGCACATTCTTATAGAACTCGACGAGCTGAGTTCAACGCTTTTTTCAGATTTTGAAAATCTCAATTTTGAACCGAGTTATAACGAATTCACGAAATTAACGAGGATTCGCGTTATTCGCGTGAATTTTCGATTTCAAACGGCGAGTACTGTACGACCTGAGAGCTCCCATTTCTCAAGTAGTTTGTTTATTCCATGAATTCCTTATCACGCAGACGGACATACATGCGTACACTTAAAGGCATAATATACGCAGTGTCCATACCGTTATGCATACTGATGCATAGCATACTTAGCTGATTTCCATCTGAGTACTTTGGAAACAGTTGATTAGCGCGACTTATCAAGTGCTTCGGCCGCTACTTCATTTCCGGTGACAAGCTTGTTCGAATCGCGAGATAT